AAATTTCTTAATGAGGTTTCACTAATTACACGAGTTGAAAAAATATCAACTTTTTTTAGGCCTGAAAGTAAATAAAATTATTTTTAGTATATTTTGATGCGTTAATTACGAATATAATTTCAAAAATGTCGTATCATGTCAAATTTTTAAGATATTCTAATATAAAAGTGCAAAAAATGGTGTATTAGGTCGGAGGAAAAGTTCTGCGGATTTTTAAATAAAATTTAAACAAAAAATCGATATTTATAAAAATTTATTCAATCAACGATGAATTGACTATCTTGATCTACTTGTTGCCAACGCTTCGATAGGGGCTTGATACCGCTCTCGTAAAATCTTTGAAACTTTGTGGGTGAAAAAATCAGAGATGTTTTCAGATGACTTCTATCGAGTCGAATCATTGACCGTCAAGATTGTTTTGCAGCGAGCGAAACAAGTAGTAATCAGATGATGCATACTGCCCCACCATATTCGCAGGACCTTGCATCGTCTTCCAGCCAAAGCTCTGCAATTTTTTTCGTGAGGAAAAAAATGTGTCCAAAACTGCTCCGCAATTTCTCGAACCATTATTCGTTAAGTATCGATCACTCTTCACTGCAGACAGGAGTTGGTCGCCATCAGCAGCATTTGGCCATTCAGAGCGTAGTGCTTGGAGGTTAAATTCTTCGGAATGGAAGGTAAATCATCTTTTGCATGTGTCCACGCTTAAGGCCGAAGCACTATATGGCACATATTTCTCGCTTAGTATCCGCCACTTTATGTCCTTTAAGAAATAAAAACAGCAAAATATTGGCGTAAATGTAATTTTTGCTCTTCCATTTTACTTATATGCCCCACATGCATAACACTTCCGATCAAAACAAACATTTCTGCTAAATGTCAAGCGTAGCGAGACTATGGTTAAAAAATGTGACAAACTGACATTTGAATGACACATGGTATCTATTTTCTGACACTAGCATCTATTTAAAAAAACCGCAGAACTTTTCCTCCAATCCAATATTTTGCTATTTTCAACGACCTACATACAAAATGTCTAACAATTCTTTTTTCAATATCCAGGCTGATGTTATATTAAACTGTTATTCTTATTATCTAAATACGAGAATACTACTACTTGATGGTCAAAGTTAGATATTGAACTAATATTTAAATGAATTAATTTCAGAAATATAATTGCGTGCCGTTACTATCGAACTTTCAACGAAATTCGAAATATAATATTAATAATCCCTCCAAATTTAATTTTAAAAAACTGTATTAAACTTATTGCGAAAAATATTACATCGGCCAGAAGTCGAACCCAGATCTCTAGATCTCTAGTATACGAGCGTCTGAAGACTACTCTTCAGTCCGAGATCTTAGCAATATTTCTCGCAATAACCGATATACCATATGGTATGTTTTGCTAGATGAATTGCGTTGAAAATCCGACAGTAACGGCGCGCGCAATACTTCTAAAATAAATTCATTAAAATAAGAAAATGTATATATGTTCAATATCTAACTTTGACTGTCAAGTGGCGCTCCTCGTATTCACATAAAACAGTCTTGATTCCAATCTTATTATTGTTATTTTTACCCTTTTCAAATCATATTCGATTGTTATAATCCGACTTTTTTTCGCTGAAATAGAGCAAATCGAATTTTTTTATTTTTCAACACATAAGAATATACCTACTCTCTACGTGTAAAGAAAGTACAAAGATTAAATATTTCGAACAGCTTAAGTTTGAGAAAAAAAGATTAATTTAAAGATTATATAATATATTAAAAATTTATTTATTACGTTCAAGTCTTTCCATCAACTTATGAATTCACCCAAAAACGTTGACTTAAAAAAAATTAAATCATAGCAATCGAATATGCGTTGGAAAAGATAAGAATAAAACTTTAATAAAAAATATTAGGAAACTAGGCAAATGAAAGTACGCGGTACTTAATGCGCAAATTCAACATACAATTAATAAAAATTAAACCTAAATTAATATATTTAGCTTACTTCAAGAACTCGAACGTTTCGGCCACATTTGGGGTTACCCTTAGCGATGCAAATAGTTTAAAAATTTATTGAATCTCTTACACTCCTGCATAATAAGGAAATCCCCGCTCAATCCTTCATGATTATATGCCAGTCATGATTTCAAAAAGAAATCTAAGAAGCATTGATTATTATAAAAGGAAACAAAAAAAAGACCAAAAAATTAAAGTATAAATATTCATCTACAAGCAAGAGTGTAAGAAAATACATTAAAAATCGGAATAATTACAAACATCAGATAATAAATTAATTAAAAGATAAGACAAAGAACTAGAAGTTATAAAGTTACTAACATTGTCAAAATCAGAGATGTCCTAATATAAAAATAAATCGTGAGAACATGTACAAACATTATAAACCAAGAAAGAAAGCTTAAGGCTCACAAGTATGTGAATACAGAAATTAATGAGTAACGTATTTAAAGCTCGTATGCATAAGATTTGATAATTGACTAAGAATGTAAGAATCAACATAAGCATGATTTAAATAACCGATGTCGGACTGGAAAGTTTAGACTATTATTTTATAATTTTATAAAAATCATTTCTTGTGACATTTGATGTCATTCCTGTCAGACTCATGAAATCATGGAGTGTTCTTCCGAATAGGACACTTCTCCGATTGAGTTAAACCTTTACAGATAATATTGTTATGATATATAATGTTTGTTTATGGAGATTTTATCTTCAGGTTTTGTGTAGTTTAAAAGTTAAGAAAGAGGTAGCTTCGCGTGGAAATTCGTACGCCCCTTGACGAAGGAGGGAGGAGGTGGGGCAAAAGTCGCTTCGTATAAAAAGTCGTATGCCCTGAAGCAGGGGGAAGATGGAATAGAAATCGCTTTGCGTGGAAAGTCGTCGCCTCGAAGTAGGAGGGAGAAGATATGGTGGAAGTCGCTTCGCATGAAAAGTCGTACGTCCCGGCAAAGCGAGGGAGAAGCGTTGGAGTGGACTTTTATACTCAACGCAAGGTTTGAATGTAAAATTATGGATTCTGAGATTAAAAGATTAGTATGCGTGTATATATATATATATATATAAAGGGTGTTTTTTTAAGCTCGATAGAACTTGAAATTGTAAAAAATAAAACAAAAAATTAAATTTTAATTAAAAAATTTTTTTTATTTCTTTCAGTATACACTGGCAAATCATTATGAATAGACTCACGCTTGAATCGGCTTTCGCCGATTGGGCTCTAGAGCAGTTGGCAACTGACCCGTTGTTTTATCGACAAATTGTGTTCAGCGATGAGGCTCATTTTTGGCTTAACGGGTTTGTTAATAAGCAAAATTGCCGCATATGGAATGAGAACAATCCACAAGAGATCCTACAGACTCCATTACATCCAGAAAAATGCACCGTTTGGTGCGGTTTACACGCTGGTGGCATCATCGGACCTTATTTCTTCAAAAATGAGGCCGGAGCTCGCGTTACGGTCAATGGAGATCGTTACCGCACCATGATCAATGATTTTTTATTTGAAAATATGGATGACATTGATCCGGACGAGATGTGGTTTCAACAGGATGGCGCTACGTGCTACACGTCGACCGCAACCATCGACTTATTGAAATCAAAATTTGGCGATAAGTTGATTTCGAGAAATGGAACTGTCAATTGGCCTCCAAGGTCGATTTGTGCGATTTGATCCCTCTCGATTATTTCCTCTGGGGCTACGTCAAGTCACTGGTTTATGCTGATAAACCAGCAACAATTGACGCCTTGGAGGACAACATTGTTCGTGTTATTCGTGACATACGGCCGGCACTGCTCGAAAAAGTCACTCAAAATTGGACGTCCAGAATGCGCTTCGTCAAGAACAGCCGCGGTGGCCATATGCCCGAAATCATTTTCAATTGTTAATGCCATACATTGATCTTTCGAATAAAAAAAAATTTTTGATTATAATTGCATTTTTGTGCTAGTTTTTACAGTTGTAAGTTCTATCGGGCTTAAAAAAACACCCTTTATATATATATGGTGAAGTTGGTTAAATTGTACCTCCATTGTATTTTCTAAACTAAACATTTTTTTTTTAAATGATGACACTGATGTGACGCTAGTAACATGGCTTAAGAATTATCATTTTTGTTTTGTCTTCGAATAGTCTGTTTACGAGTAACATTCAAAATTCATTTTGTTCAGTGTCTAATCTATATTTTTGTACAATTTATCTAAGGTATTATCAGTATAGTTAAAAATAATTGAATTAAAGTGTATTACAAAGTTACAATTGATATTTAAATTCTTTTTGAGTATAGCATCAAATTAGCAAAATATTTGCTAGTAATGTTGCTATTGGCAAATTTGTAAAAATAGAGAGAGTTAGGTAAATCGTACTTGTCGCTGGTCTTTATATTGTACGATTTTCGCAAGCTCCCATAATCTCCTCGCGGTTCGTATGTATTGTTAGGTTATTTGATTAGCATCGAACGCGAAGAATTATTAAAAGACCTATAATGCAAAAACTCTGAAGAATATAAGGACTCCAAAGAATATAGGTTTTAATATACTATTTTGGTGGTAATTATCCAAAAGAACTGATTCATCTCTTATTTCAATGAAATTAGGCTCATTTGATGCGTTTTTGCATAAAATGAAAGAATCTGGTCGAGAAAATACAGGACTGCACTACGAAGCAAGATATTAGCATTTGTTAGATTCTACGTACCGTCTGAATTTCGCGCGTTGAATGTTCGCGCCATCTCTCGGCCGCCGCTACTGCCCGACGATGGAATAGGCGTACGCGGCGCCTTCTTTTTTTTTAGATATAGTAAGTGCTGTGTGTACGTGAGGGAATGCCGAGTCGATGCGTGTGATCGCTCTCTCGAATAAAACCCTTCAAAGAGACGTTGTTTTGTCTATCACGATTATTTTCCCGTTCCTAATACGACATTTGGCGACCGTGACAGGACGGGGTTTCATGTGTTAATCGTGAAAAAGTGTTATTGAACGTCTCGAAAATGGAAAAAGCCAAGAAGGCAAGAGCGGCACGAAGGACCGCGTTTACGCGTGCGCTTAACGCAGTTAATGGCGGCCTAAAAGACGCACCGTTAAACTTAAACGAAATTGAGGCGTCTATGCAATTATTAGAGGAGAAATATACCGATTTGGAAGCGATTAATGCACAGATTTTCGACTTTCTCATCGACAATAATGCCGAACAGTCGGTAATCGATCAAGAAATGGAAGCAGTCGATGAATATAAATTCATATTTCTTCAAAAAAGAAACGAAGTCGTGAAAACGTTAAACAATGGCATGCAAAAGGAGGGTGCTAAGGTCGAAAACGCGTTACCATGTGAACCAAAGAAAAATTTTCGTCTTCCAAAGATCGAACTGAAAAAATTCAGTGGTGATATTAAAGACTGGTTACAGTTCTGGAGTCAGTTCAAAAAAATTCACGAAGACGAGAGCATTGTCGCCGAGGACAAATTTCAGTACCTCATACAGGCCATGTTGCCGAATTCTCGAGCGTATGAGTTGGTGCAGAGTTTCCCGCCAACGGCAGAAAATTACGGCAAAGTGATCGTGAGCTTAAAAAATCGTTTTGGTCGTGACGATCTTCTCGTCGAAGTGTACGTACGAGAACTCTTGAGACTCGTCTTGCAAAATGCGGTGAAACCGAACGAAAGTATACGGCTGTCGAGTTTGTACGATAAAATCGAATCTCATTTACGGGCACTCGAGACGTTGGGAGTAGCAACCGATAAGTGCGCGGCCATGCTTTTCCCGCTCGTAGAGTCGTCGTTACCGGAGGAGCTGTTGCGCGCGTGGCAACGAAGCACGAGTGTAAGTAATGGAAATGCCGAAAATGCTGCAAAAGATCGGTTGACGCGGTTAATCGACTTCTTGCGATCTGAAGTAGAGAATGAGCAGCGAATATCGATGGCAATGAACGGTTTCAGCTTAAACGCGCAAAAATCGAAAAAAACGAAACCACGATCAGAGACACACAAAGACATCCCGACAGCGATGGGTCTGTTGACGACAAAACCGGTTAAGAACATTACGTGCATTTTTTGCGGCAGTGAACATGAGAGTGCGGAATGCGACAAAGCACGTAAAATGAGTTTTTTCGAAAGACGTAAAATTATTAAAGACAAGAATTGTTGCTACAACTGTCTAAAATACGGACATAATTGCAAAAATTGTCGTGTTAATATTCGTTGTGCATGGTGTTCTAAACATCATTATATCGTAATGTGCCCGGAGTTTTCAAAAGGTGAGAATGAAAATAAGGATTGTACTCCCTGTGACGCAAAAGAAGAAAAAAATCTGGCAAGTTTTTTACGGGATCCAGATGTAATTTTGCAAACGATACGCGTAAAACTGCGAAATGATGTAAAAGAGAGTATCGTCCGGGCAATTATTGATACGGGCTCTATGAAATCGTATATTCTCAAAAGTGCCGTTGAAAGAATGGGATACACGCCCGAGGGGGAGCAGGTGATTACGCACTCGTTGTTCGGCGGTGCAAAATCGAGCGCGACCAAGCATCGTAGCTACATGGTGCGAGTCGGCAGTCTTGACGGTAGATACTTTTGTCGATTCAACGCATTCGACCAAGACGTAATATGCGGCAACATTGCGAGTATCAAGAGAGGTCAGTGGGTTGAAGAATTGCAACATTTAAAAATTGAACCGCCGGATATGAGCGAAGACGAGTCAACAATCCAACTTTTAATTGGGGCAGACATCGCAGGAAAACTGTTCACTGGAAACACAAGAATTTTGAAAAATGGACTAGCCGCTATAGAGACTCTTCTTGGATGGACGATCATGGGCAAAATACCGAGTGATGGACAACGTAAAGACTCAAGCTTAACGACTATTTCATTGTTCGTTAAAGAGGCTAACATTTCCGATTTATGGGAGCTGGACGTGCTGGGTATCAAAGATCCATTTGAAAGCAAATCCAAGAAAGATCATGAAGATAAAATACTGTCTGCATTTTTGGAAAATGTCAAGGTCAATGAAGATGGACGTTATGAGGTTCAACTGCCTTGGAGAGAGAATCACCCTACCTTAGAAAATAATCGAGAACTCGCAATTAGACGCCTGGAATCTACAACCAGAAAATTAAAAGTGAACGATCTTTTCGAAAAGTACGACCAAGTTTTCGATGAGTGGAAAAGTGACGGTATTATCGAACAAGTTCCTGCGAGTGAAGTGACTAAATGGGGCCATTATTTACCTCATCGACCAGTATTAAAAGAGAACAGTTCAACAAAAATCCGGCCAGTGTTCGACGCTTCGTCCCACGAAAAGGATTCACCATCGCTAAACCAGTGTTTGGAAATAGGCCCGAACTTAATCGAGCTCATCCCTTCGATACTGTTGCGTTTTAGAAAGTGTAAATACGGTGTTATTTCTGATATTAAACGGGCGTTTTTGCAAATCAGCATACATCCAAAGGATCGCGACTTTTTAAGATTCTTGTGGTACGATAAATCGGGTAAGGTTATTATTTTACGCCATGCCAGGGTAGTCTTTGGAGTATCGTGCAGTCCGTTTTTATTAGGCGCCGTAATCGATCTGCATTTAAAACGCGTTATGCAGGATGAGCTTTCTCGAGAATCAATGAAGTATTGTCCGAGAAATATTACAAAATTGTCCGAGAGTTTTTACGTGGACAATTCTGTAACAAGCGTTAATAACGTAGATGAAATAAGCTCGTTTATATCGGATGCTAAGATGGTAATGAAAACCGGTGGCTTTGAGCTCAGAGGGTGGGAGTTTTCAGGTGATTCTCTAGATAGCGACAAATCTCCCGTGCTCGGTATAATTTGGGATAAAAACAAAGATGTTTTGTCAATAAATGTACCATGTTTAGATGAACTTTACGAAACCGTTGTCACGAAACGATCAATGTTATCCCTTGCTCATCGTATATTCGATCCTTTAGGCGTCGCTTCTCCAATAACCCTTTACCCAAAGTTATTGTTACAAGAGGCATGGGCTAAGAACCTATCTTGGGATGATGAAGTAACGGATGAGATAAAAAATAAATTTTTAAAATGGGTAAGACAGCTAGATAATTTACGCAAAATTGAAATACCGAGGTGCTTGTTGGGAGAATTGGGAAGAGACGACCTTATAACTATTCATACGTTTTGCGATGCCAGTCAGATGGCGTATGCAGTCGTAATATTTATACGGATCGAAAATAACTTAGGGGTGCGTGTTAAATTTGTACAATCGAAAGTCCGAGTTGCGCCGGTGAAAACTTGTACTATTCCGAGACTAGAATTATTAGGAGCTACTATAGCCGCACGCTTAACCCACTCAGTTGTAGAAACACTTAAACTAAATAGCGTGAAGAAATATTATTGGTGCGACTCTACTACTGTTCTCGCGTGGATAAAGAGGCAGTCGCAATGGGGGGTGTTCGTTCTGAACAGGGTACAAGAAATTCGTAAATTGTCCAGTTGCGACGAATGGTATCATGTGCCGGGTGAACACAATCCTGCGGACTTGCCTTCGAGAGGATGTTCTGTCGATCAATTAATGGCTTCTAGATGGTGGGGGGGGGGGCCACAATGGCTATATTCGCGTTCTGATTGCTGGCCTTTCTCAGAACCTAGTTTCAACGAAACAGAAATCGAGAAAGAAGCGAAAAAATCGGCTATTTCTAAGGGTAAAGATAATGCGGGAAAACATGAGTACGGTACTGGTGGCAGCAACCAATCAGAGTAATATTAGTTCATGGCTTATCGATCGTTTTTCTACTTATAAAAAATTACTGCGCGTCTGTGCATGGATAAAGCGATTTATTTATAATAGTAAACTACAAAAACACTTGCGTAGTTCAGGAGAGTTATCTGTTGAAGAACTGCTCGAGTCCGAATTGTTTATGTTAAAACTTGTTCAAACGGAGGTTTTTGCCAATGAGAAAGACAAGAGGCTTGAAGTTTTGAAGGCATTTAAAGACGATAAAGGGTTGATACGGTTGAAGACTAGAATTACGGAAAGAGACGATACGTACAATTTTCGGTACCCTATTGTCTTACCTGCTTGTCATGATCTAGTCACACTATTGATTAAAGAGAAACACGATAAGTTGGGGCACGCTGGTGTACAGATTTTGCTTAATAATTTAAGAGGAGATTATTGGGTTCTGGGAGGCCGAAAGGCCATTCGCGCCGTATTAAAAGGATGTTCTACTTGTCAACGATACAGTTCGAAGCCAATGGAAGTAATATCAGCTCCTCTTCCTTTAGATAGAGTAAGAGATGCTGCTATTTTCGAGGTGACTGGCGTCGATGCTGCTGGCCCTATTTTTTTGAAAGGACCGCAGAAAGCTTGGATTATATTGTTTACGTGCGCGGTGTATCGAGCCGTACATCTTGAGCTGGTTACCTCGCTGTCCACTGTTGCCTTTATAGATGCGCTTAGACGTTTTATTTCGAGACGTGGTCGACCTTCCATTATCTATAGCGACAATGGAAAAAATTTCGTGGGTCTTGACAATCTATTAAAGCTGGTTGATTGGCAGAAAGTCGAAAAATTTGGTACGATTAATAAAATACAATGGCGGTTTAATCCACCTTCTGCCGCGTGGTGGGAGCGTTTAATCGGAGTATTGAAGCGATTGTTGCGACGTATATTGAAAAAGGCGTGCTTGAGCTACGAAGAAATGCTTACTGTTTTGTACGATTGTGAGGCAGTAATAAATTCGCGGCCGCTGACAGCTATGTCTGACAATGCGCAAGATTTTGTCCCGTTAACACCGTCGATGTTCCTACAAGAGATTAAAGAGGTAGGCGTCCTCGATTGCGATTTTTTGGAGCGATGTAGACTAGATAAAAGATTTGTATATCGTCAAAGTATTAAAGATCAGTTGCGAAGTCGTTTTCGTATAGAGTATTTAGGCGAACTAATGTATCACGATAATAAAAGGAGTAAAAGGATCCGTCAACCACAAATAGGCGATATAGTATTGATAGGAAATGACAACCAAAAAAGGCTCGACTGGCCCCTAGCGCGAGTAACTGAGTTGATTTTAGGCAAAGACAACAAACCTCGTGTTGTACGTTTGAAAACGGCTTCAGGAGAATTGACGAGACCCGTGCAAAGAATTTATTCCTTAGAAATGGATGACGAGTTTAATGTTAACAAAAAATGTTTTAATCGAAAAGCGAAAAGAGAGTCTTAATAGCGATTGTCTAGATTAGTTTTATCATTATCCTTATACTTAGATTTATCTGATAACAATGTTATTTTCAAAATCACGTTCGACTAAAAAAAAAAATATATGATTTGATACATTATATCGTTGAATTTGTTTTAAGTTGGTCATTGAGTTGGCTAGTCAACTCAAGGTGGGAGAATGTTAGATTCTATGTACCGTCTGAATTTCGCGCGTTGAATGTTCGCGCCATCTCTCGGCCGCCGCTACTGCCCGACGATGGAATAGGCGTACGCGGCGCCTTCTTTTTTTTTAGATATAGTAAGTGCTGTGTGTACGTGAGGGAATGCCGAGTCGATGCGTGTGATCGCTCTCTCGAATAAAACCCTTCAAAGAGACGTTGTTTTGTCTATCACGATTATTTTCCCGTTCCTAATACGACAGCATTAAAGCGACTATTGAGGTTAGGAAAAAATCTGTAACACCAATTTAATGCAGTGCTATGTACACGTATTTTAGTCGGTGTTTATTTAGAATCACTCACCTCCGATTTTAATGAAATTAGACTCATTCAATGCGTTTTGACTCAAAACGAAAACCTGCTCTTGCTATATGCGAATATAATACTCAATTGAAAATAAATTTATTAATAAAAATGAATTTTAAAATTAATTTATGTTTATCTTCCCAATGAACAAACTAATGTTATTTTGACTTTAAAGATGTTATTTTAATATCAAAATGATAATAAATAATGTTAGCTTGTTTGCTAGATTAGAAGTACAATTTAGGAGCTCAGTGGTACAATTTAATGACGGTCTTCAAATCGTACCGAAAGCTACTTTTTTAAAATCTAATTTAAACAATAATTTAAGGTTTATTTTTATAAAAGTATCGTTTTGTTTTTCAATGAACCAAAGTTTAATGTACAGAAATATTCTGATTTGTTCAGTACTTTTGTCACAATTTTGTTTAAACATTAAGAGGTACGATATTCCCTCGAGAGAGGTACGACTTCCCTCCATATAAAAATATTATCAGTCATAATTTTTCTCTTTTTCATTTTCTTTTATTATTTAAGCTATAGAAAACCCAAACATAGGATCTTTATAAATAATCACTATACGAGGTCTCTGTTCAAAAAGTATCGCGAATTTTGAATTTCCGCGGGTTACGTATATTCGATTTTCGATTTTTTGTGACGTTATGTTGGTACTCATGTCTCTCACTTATGCCGACAAGTTCGGCCATTTTGAATGTTCAGTTAATTTTTGACAGCTGCTTTGCTTGCACGTGTTTTGGCTCGTCTTCGATTTTTGCCTATTCCAAAAAATGGATCAAAGAATCTGTATCAAATTTTGTGTGAAAAACAAAATTAAGTGCGCGGACGCATTCCGAATGTTGACTGTGGCATATGGTGAAGCTACCTTGGACCGAAGCAACGTTTATCGGTGGTACAAAATGTTCTCAGAGGGCCGAGAAGATGTGAACGACGAAGAGCGTGCCGGACGCCCGAGCACGTCAACAACAGACGAAAACATTGATGAAGTGAAGAAAATAGTATTGGCCAATCGTCGAATCACCGTTAGAGAGGTTGCTGAGGACCTAAACATATCGATGGCTCCGTATCGCGTGCCATTCGATTTTTACCAATGATTTGAGACGGGTCGCCGCGAAATTCGTACCAAAATTGCTCAATTTCGACCAAGAACAGCATCGCATTAACATTGCTAAGGAGCTGTTGGACTCTGTCCGCGACGACCCAAATTTGCTCCAGAGGGTCATAACTGGTGACGAATCATGGGTTTATGGTTATGACGTGGAAACCAAAGCTCAATCATCCCAATGGAAGCTGCCGCACGAGCCAAGACCGAAAAAAGCGCGCCAAGTTCGGTCGAATGTGAAGGTTTTGCTTACAGTTTTCTTCGATTGCAGGGGCGTGGTGCATCATGAGTTCTTGCCACAGGGTAGAACGGTCAATAAGGAATATTACCTGCAAGTTATGCGCAATTTGCGCGAAGCAATCCGCCAGAAACGCCCGGATTTGTGGAAGAACAAAAATTGGCTTTTGCACCATGATAACGCCCCTGCTCACACATCGTTGCTTGTGCGCGAATTTTTGACCAAAAACAACACACTAATGATGCCGCAGCCACCATATTCCCCAGATCTGACCCCCTGTGACTTTTTCTTGTTCCCGAAACTGAAGAGGCCCATGAAAAGACGACGCTACGCAACGATTGAGGAGATAAAGACGGCATCGAAGGAGGAGCTGAACAAGATCACAAAAAATAATTTTTTGAAGTGCTTCGAGGATTGGGAAAAACGTTAGCACAAGTGTATAATATCTGATGGGGATTACTTTGAAAGGGACAAAATAGATATTCATGAATAAATAAATAATTTTTGAAAAAACACAAAATTCGCGATACTTTTTGAACAAATCTCGTACATCGTAACAATTTTGTCTGTAAAATTTCAACTCAATCGGAACGGTGTCCCATTCGGAAGTACAGCCAAATCATGGATTAAACAACAAAATATTATTATGAAAAGTAAAGTCAGAATTAGATTTCTTAAGTTTTGTATTTCTCATAATATTATTCCACAATGTCCAGCGTCCCAAAAATCGTTGGAACGACGCACGTCACTTGTCGCGATACCAAAATTGTTATCATGGTAACGCGACTTTCGATTCGTGACGCGGAATCTCCAGCCAAAATCACGGTATCACGTGTTCATTGTGATAGCAAGTAGCAACTGCCGTCATTACACATCTGCGCGAGCTAGATAACTAATAATTGTAAAAATAATGATAAAAAGCTGAAATGTAATAAATTAATTGTAAGATAATCATTAAAAGTCACAGAATTGCTCTAATAGATGTAGAAACAAATAGCGCACACATGTTAAACTTTTTTTACATATCAAAAAAGTCATTAATAGTTTAAATAGTGTAAATAATAATTGGACAGTAATTGTCATGGCATCATGACAATTGGTAACAGGAACTCACAAATTATAAAAATGTTCAGAGATGTTCCCAATCGGAACATTTCCAACTATGCTAAAGACGTTAATGTAAATAAGACTAAAACTTGTCGAGTAGTTGATATGTGCGAGTTCGATAGCGAGAATTCGTGCATAAAATGTTTCGATAATCATGTATCGACAAAGCTATTGTTCTGATTGCCCACAAGCGCGGGAAGATGTGAAAGGGGATTTGCTGACGCCCTTTCGCATCCAATATCTAATTATTATCTTAAATTTAGCATTAAGCGATGTGATAAATTATGTCTTAGGAACTTTTAGAATAATATTCAATGTAAAACGCCTATGATTAGCTCATCCCCTTGTCCGCGAGACGTCACCCTCTTAAAGCGTATATGAACAAGGGTCTTTTGCGGGTACCTCGGACTTCATTAAATTTCCAATTGTCGAGCTTCTTTAATTTTCATTTGTTAAATACTTCGTGTCGATAGCATTTCAGAGCCATTACTGTACTACCGACTGGTCGAGCCAGATTCGTCGTTTAGATTTGGCCTAAACTCCATGAAAGTGCGGGAGTGTCCAGAAAATGTGTCTGGGCGATCTAAATTTCTATATTCCCCGTGGGGAATGTCATGGCATGTCAGTATCAGAAATCTAGCCCGGCGCTACCTAGTATTTCATCTATAATAGGCGCTAGACAGAATTACAAGTAGGTGATGTCAAAATAAAAAAACTAGCTAGGGGCTAGCCTAGCCAACGAGACAGGATCATAATAGTCATTTTTTAATGTAACTAATATTATTAAATAATATACAAGTATAATATAAAATGTAAATTAATTATTTAACATTTTATAAAGTTATTCGACACTCACACGCTATAATCATGATTGTATCGAATTATTAACCCTGTTACATGCACACCCATTGCATATAATTTGAGTGGCCCTATAAATCCCTTATTGTATATATTGTATTGTAAATTGCGCGTTACACCGACCATGATTGCGTTCCATTATTCACTTCAAGTCTACAACATAACGTAAACTATAAATTTCCAGTGCAATGGATAACAGAACGCAGCCATTATATGGGACTTCTTTTGGATCGGAATGAAAGGCGCAGATTCGCAATAATCAATGTCGCCCTAGACATTTTAGTATCCTTAGAAGTAAGAGTCTGGCCACGGAGTAAAAAGAAGACCGAACTCAAGCGGTTAGTCACGAGCGGTTGGGTTCGATTTCTGGCTTTGAAAAAGCGCTGTATGTAAGAACCAATTCGAGCGCTCCTGTTAGAGAAAACTATCAATTTAGAGTTTAATAAATATTTGTCTTCCCATTTTCCTGTAATTCTGTAAATTTGTATATTTTACGTGCAGAATAAATTCTAGGAAGGAAAGTTATTGCTCAAGTTCCGTTTTATTTTTTGTAATTTCAAAGTCTTTTGATGCCGGTTATTTTAAAAACAACAATTTTCCTAAATAGTTTTCCAATATTGGGGTTACACCGCATCACGAACTAGAGTCTAGATAGTTTTCAAAAAATGGGGCTGGTCATTATTGGAGCCGTTACCACCCATTATAGTCCCAGGCTAGCTTTCCAACATAGCGCCTACATGAACTCGTAGAAAACTAAATAGGACTCATATAATATGTTTTATTAATAAATTAAAATGTCAGGTCATTTTGAGACACCCTTTATATATATATATA